ACAATAGTTATCAATTCATATTTATGCACCTGCAAACAGTTTTCCTTCTGTAAGAGTGGGAGCTTGCTTTCCTAGTGGGGAAACTCCTTCATAGGGGTTTCTTCTCTACCAAATACCATTTTGCCAGATCACCATGGGATCTCATAAACTGGATTTCTTTTGTTTAGAATTGATGAGATTATACTTATTTTTAAATGCTTCATTGTCACTCCTAAGCCCTCTGGCCTTGTATTGACCTTTAGGATTTCTGGACAAGATGCAACTCTATTTGTACTTCTTAGACTGTTTTGGCTTTGGGATTGTGCCAGACAGACAACTGACTGCAACTATTATGGGGTAGTTTTCCAGCATGTGGATTACTAGCATGCGGCCACTTAAATTAATTTTATATAGTAACAGAAGCCGTATAGGTCAAAGTCTCATAGTTTATCACTCAGCTGCATATCCTTTAGGTCTAAAATCTTGTTTCACGTTTTCAGTTGCACTCCTCTTCAACTGTATATATACATATAGAAAATTAATATAATGCATAGGTGATTATTAGACTGACTTCACTGTATTATAGGTCTTTTTCCATTTAGTAAGAAGGAGGGAGAAAGACTGTGGCAGAACGTTGGCACAAGACTTGGTTACTCTCTAATAGCGTTCATGGTCACTTTTGTCTGTGCTAGCCTTAAGGTCCTTATATGTTAAGAGACTCTCTACCCCAGTTCTGTGATTCTAATTGTCATTAATTTAAAGAAAAAGGGCTAAATCAGTTATTCACCAGTAGAGTTCCAGAGTTTGTCAAACATAGGTATTATTTACTATTTTACAGTTGTCAATTTTAAAGCTCCTTGGCAGTCTTATACATACCACATAAATATTTATTAATAGAAATCTCCACCCTCTCCCAGTGTCTCTGGCCATTTTACATCAGCCAGTTTGTGCATTTGCCTTTGGCTAACCTGCCAGACAGTGCATATAATCAATCTCTTACAGATTTTATACTAATAAGTGTCCTTTAGAAAAAAGCAAAAGCAGTGAATATGATGAACAACTTGACTGCAGTATTGTCACAGAAGAGGAACTGCATGCAATCTTTTAAATCTCTAGTGGAAGTGCAGGTTGCTGCACAGCGCTAATAATTGAGCTAATCCAATGGCCCACAGGTATCAAAGACACAGGGGGTTGGCGTAATCTCATTCCTTTCTCTCCTGTTTCTAGCTAGGGAGGCTTATCTCTTCCCTTGCATCACACCAGCACTTACTGGCACCAAATTCACCTTCTTAACCTAGCACGCAGTCATCACCATCCTTTTTTCCACAAGCACGCTGCACCTGCTTGAGGGGTCCAGAGCAAGTTGCAGTATATGCAAGTGGGAGGTGCAGCTCTTCCGATAAAAAGGAAGATGAACGGAGAAGACCCCGTTTCCCCTGTTTTGTCAGGGGAGAGCTGCTGAATCGTTTTAAGCCATCTCATGAAAACACGGACTTAGAAAGAGGGAGGCAGCCACACCATTTGAGAAGAACAAGAGAGCTGGACTGAGGTTACCAGCATTTCAACATGCCTTTCACACTAGAAAACCTTCACTGTCATGAACACCGAATTTAGTTAATCTCCAAAACAGGTCACCATTTATGCAAAGGTATTAACTGGAGAACAAAATGCACAAGTGTCCCAGTGGATAGCAGAGTGGACAAGTTTCTCCTTATTTCATGTGTGCACACGCAAGAATTCGGTATCTTTGAGCATGAGAAGCTTTCAAATGCTCCAAAGCTTTTAGTTACCGCAGCTGGACCATAAAGCTAAAAGCTGTATTCAGAGAGCTGTGAAAAGCCCTTGATGCCAAAGCTCTTGAGCCTTTGTTTCATTTGTGGTCCTTGTTAGCCTAACCAACAAGCAAACCTTAGAAAGTTCAGTCTACAGGTAAAAAGTGCTTACACACAACAAATCATTCCGTAGCTCAAGACCTGTTCACAGATGTTCAGGATAATTACGGTTAATCCTCTCCTTTTTTATTTTGTAAATAAGGATTTTCCAGGAAGTTTCAGAGCCTAACTCAGTAACAGTTTTAAAGTGCTATGCAGATCCTAAGCTTCCATTGTTTTGAGCTGCTCATTGCAGGTAATGAGGTAATACCCACACCAACAGTTTTAAACAGAGCAGATTTCAGAAACTGAAAATCAGATGGGCATTGTATGTATTCATGATATGAACTCGGCTTTTCTGATTTGGAATACTAAACTGAAATTCAGGTCATGCAGCAACTAGTTGCATGCAGTAGTGATGCATTTTTCTGATAGCTGTTTTCATTTGCATTTGAGCTGAGCACCAGCCACACAGGTGTGTGGAACCTCTGCAGGACCTAATCCAGTAGTCAGGGTCTTCCCTTTTTCACTACTCTGTGGGTTAGTTTTCACACAGGAGTTTTGTTTATACATGTAAGTGGGTAAGGCTTCTGAAGCTTTGAATAGTGTTTAATTAAGCTCCAAAATCTTGTGAAGCCTTCCTGCTACACATTTCTTGCAGCTTTCACTTACTCCAATAACAGGTTAATCAGATGTCCACGCATTAAGTGTTAGATCTCAGCTACATCAACAAGAATAGCTTTTTTAGAAGGAAATTAAAAAAAAAAAGATACTAAATACCATTTACATCCATTTCAGAAAGTTTATTGCACCAAATGCCGCAAAGAAATAGACCAAAATGATAATGTACATAAACAACTATAAGAAAAGGAAAAAAACATGTAGTTTGACATTTGTATTCAATCAGTCCTAAAAAAAGTCTATGCTCTCTAAACATGCAATAGCAATACACATTTTTTCTACTATGGATAACCTGTTAAGCATGTCAATTTAGCCCATTTAATTTCAGGAAAGTGTCTAGTTAGAGTTTATTCAGCAGTTTAGACTCAATTTTTATCTGAGTTCTTTTAATGGAAGTTGAAATTACACTTCAGGGATAAGTGACCATTTTCTGTAAACTTTACATAAGAGTTTGGTGTGCCTGAGAGATTTTGAGTTTCAGAGTAAAGCAGGCAGTGGGGAAGATCAGTCTGTAGTGTGAATTATAGAATTAGTTAATGCATATTCATCTCTTAGGTAGAAGAAATTTCTACTCGTTAGTTTGGAAAGTGTCCTAGTTTAATTAATTAAAAAGTTTAGAGCTTAATATTGTTTTAGGTTAAAGGCAGTTCATTTAAATACTACAATGTAGCCGTTTCCATTTACACCCCCTCATGCATGAATGTTTAGTTTTGCCTCAAAAAAAGAATACATTCTATAAATTGCACTGTGTAAACTGCATTTATGTGGGATTTTAGAAAGACTGTTCACTCCCACTTACACAAGAAAGTATGTATTTAAGTTCAGAAAAAAACTACATAATACTGATAAAAACTCAACTTTGGAATATTTGAAAATTAAGCTACGTTATCAATTTTGAACACCTTGGTACATTCATATCACTTTTCATTCTCTTAAAATAAAAATAGAAACATGCCTTAAAGATGACTAACACAACATTTGTAAATACTTACTGCTCTGTCATGCTACACTAATTTACATAAACAGCAAGATGCTACCAAAACAAGTTAAAGACTTAGAGTCAAAAAAGCCCTAGAAGGTGGAATCCTGTCAACTGAGGTAGTATATTGAGCGGAGGGGAAAATATTTATTTAAGCTTCTTTAAACTAAAGCCTTTTAAGAGCAATCAACTTCAATTTTGAATCCCTCCTCTCCCCAAACTAAAACTGCAAAAACAAGATCATCATGTAGTTTCTGAAGAGCAGCAAAATGTTACAGAAAGCAGCAAAAACTATAAAATTTCAGCCTGGGCTGAAGAAAATCCAAGTGCTTTTGACCATCAGCTCACGTGCCTCCCTCCAGATTAATTTAAAATCTTGCCAAAAGGGAGATTTCTATAGTTTAAGTAGTAAACGCAGGTGTTACTGATCTTGAAAAACACGGAATATTAGTTGACCTCTGACTTCATTAGCACACTATATGATCGCAAAAATGTTTCCGCATGTAATTCTTTGAAGAACTTGTCAGAGTCAGTTCAGATTGAAACCCAACTAACATTTTAAGTAAACTGGAATTGACTCTTAATACTCAGCTGCTACTTAGGAGTAACATGAAATAGAGAAAGTACATGAAAATTTCTATATATACACACAGAGGGAAGTGGTTGCACAGTCCTACTCATGCACACGCACACACACACGCTCATGCGCTCGCTCTCTGTTACAGGGATAGTTTAGGAATGTGTCACTTGCTGCATGGTTCTTCCTTTTTCTTAGCCTTGTGGGATACAGACCGATATCTGCTAACAGCTAGATGCAGAGGTAAGTTTACTTTCAACCAGACAGAGTGAAGGATTCACAGATCAAAGTTATGAAAAACATTGCTCAACTATAAGCAGCAGGAGGAAGCCTGATCCATAGAAAGATTTTAGCCTTTTTAGGCAGAATACCAGACATAACAAGTGTATGAAAAAGCAATATTAAAAGAAGCATCTGGAATGTCAGATCAGAAACCCAGCACATAAGGAACAGCTTTAGAAGCATTGTTTCAGAATATTAAGCATCCCTCCACTTGGAAACAACCTCTCTTCACAATAGGTCTGTCTCCCCATTTCCCTCAGAAAGCAACACAAGGTTAATCGAGGACCCCCCCCCAATCACATTTAAACACTCACAATATGCACATTTCATTGTTTCAAATCATTGAAAGTTTACTGTAGAAAAGTCCAAACATCAAGGTAGTATGAAATAAACACTTTTAAAAAAGTGTGTGCCTTCAACACTAAAAATCTGTAATCACCAAGAGGGAGAAGCCACAACTGGTGACCAGGGGTTTCCTACTAGGATTCACTACTTCCAAGCAATTGCTTTGCCAGCAATTTTCGAGCAAGCTGTCAGTGTCAGACATCACTCATACTCTGCGCTGGCTCACAACAGAAGGGTCCAGCATTTATTTTTCCTTTTCTTTACTAATGTTTGTTTTGATCCTTTGTTCTTTCCTTGGTCTGGTCCATAAACAGTTTCATATCCAGCTTAACAGTACTTTATGCAAAAAAGTTTTTTTTTTTTTTTTTACATTCATGTTACCAACCACATGAAAACAGTAAAATATAAAATTTTATTTTGCTTTCTAGAAACACAGAAGGCCAATATCGGCTAGCGGAGAAGTAGTTTCTGGTCTCAACGCAATTAATCTATTAAGGAAAGGCACCAGGATGATAGTTTGAGAATTCTGTAGAATCATAGAGGGCCACTGCAAACATTCATAGTAATATTGGGGTTTGTCCCCTTCATTTCATTTGTGAAGTGACCAAATAGTAGCTAGAAAAAAGGTGATATTTTTGACTAAAGATTTGGGTTTCTTTTTTTCCGCTAAGATTGTCTTGAGTTTATGCCAATTGCTTGGTGTATGTGTGTACACACACACAGAAAATAGCACACATATAATCCACAAGCTTGTCAAATTCAGACTCCTCAGAGATAGCAATACCTGATGACACCAAGACACAGGTTTAATTATTCCCAGGACTACAGTCATACAGAAACTCAAAAGAGTTAGCAAAGTTGCATCAGCAACAAATGTAAACTTGTAGCAGAAACTCCATAAGGCTTTCCCACAAAACCCCCGTCTCAGAAGTTCATTCCATTTTTGGGGTGGTACTACTCCTAACCAGAGCTCATTTGAATTCCTCCTCATTAAAACAGAAGCAGCCACAGTTTTCTTAATCTCTTGTCCTTTAAAGAAAAAGTCACACCACCTCATGCATACCTCCATTCCCACATCATATTTGGCTGCTGAATCCAGGTTCCTTGTTCTGAGCTGGTCACTTCTACTATACAAAGTCATGCTTATACTCTGCAAAAAAATCATGTTCCATCTAATATACTTGTGTATAGGAATGCTATATACATAGTTTACAGCTCCTCCTCCCCAACAAAGAAACATACACAACACCACACTCGCAAGCGCAGCATTATGAAATCCATTCTATCCCATTTGTTCTTTTAACTATTACTTCATGGTTTTGAGCAGCGTTTCTGATGGCAGCTCATAGTCTGCCATAGTGTTAACTTTTGTCCTTTGAATAGTAGTAGCAATAATAATAAAATTCAAGGATGAAGTCACCTTCTTGATTTAAGTCAGAAGTGAGATTGTTAGAAAAACCTGAATGCATTTTACATTATGTAAACTGAAGTCCTCTGATAAAACATCCAGCTGAAATCAGAATCAGAAGGTGGTAGAACGCACAGTCATCACCTGCTTTCCTCACTGTTCCCCTTTACCAGTGTTTGGCACCTCTGTTCTTCATTCAAGATTCCCATATTCTTTACTTTAAGGGAATGACTATCCTGAGATTTTAATTTATAAGAGTATTTGAGCAACATATGGGGAATGAGTACTTGCTATAGCAGCCAACAAAGGCAAGTCATTGGATTCAATCCTAGAAATTAAAAAAAGAGAGAGACAGACTTTAAAATATACAGAAAAGAAACAGAAGAGGGTATTCTTCATCCACATTAAAGAAACTAGAAGTGTCTTGCTACAAGCAAGTTCATTGTTTATTATTATTGCCATTATTCATAACATACCAGTAAATCTAAAAACAGAAACTATGCTACCTTTTAAGTGAGAAGATAGCAGTCTTGTATTCTGTGCAATACAATCTGTGGTATATAATCTTTCTGTTTTAATTTATTCACTAATCCATAAACCTGAGCTCATAGGCTTACTAATCAGTAGGCGTCAGTAAGCCTGGTCTAAAAAAGTACCCTATAAGTACTAATCAACAACTTAATGAAAGATTGTGCATTTCTTGTTTTAAATATAACTCAGTTCATCACACAGTAGGACCTTATCAAAAAAACCAACACCTGGAATTACTACGCAGTCAAAACAGCAGCACTCTCAAATGCAATTTTCAGTTTAAACCATTTCCAATGTAATGCTGCTCAGAGATCAGGAGATAGATATCTGTCTGTATTCATATACATATATGTGTATATATATAAATACATATATCCTGAGAAAGTGTTTATTTTGGGATTTCACTTCTTACAGTCACATTTCTCAGTATGAAATCTTGAGCAGTCTGGATAAAGATGTATTAAGTTTTACCTACGATGCTAAATATCACCTTTTGGGGAACATATATTCACTCCTGCTGGTCAGCAGGTGCATCTATAAAGGTTGTGTGTCCATCAAGCACACTTGCTGGAGGACAGCAGCTGAACAGGACACCTGTTTAATTTTCCTACATCTGCTTTTTAAGATCCCCTCTTCCACCAAGACACACCCCTCCACCACCCAAGTTTCCAAAAATCCTGAAATATTTGTTGGGATAAAGTTTTGACAGCTTAACTATTAACTACAGTTTTAATATTAAGGGGGGGGGGAGAGAGAGCACACACGCAAGTGAGCATGTGTGGATGACCTCAGAATGACCAAAACTCAAAGTTTTTAAAAATCTCGTGCAAAACAAAAAAATCCTTTTCATTCTGAAGATATAAGAATTACAAGTGGTTTGCTCTTGCTGCTGAACTGTAAACGTCTCCGTCTGATTTCTAGATGGCTCAGTGGAACCCACTTTTATACTTTATTAGGCACATGAAAGAGGGGAGCACTACATATGCAGTAAAAAGCAAGTCCCCAGGGAAACAAGATGGTATTTGGAAACTGAAAAGGAATATAAGTGCCCCAAGTTTTGCCAGAGGTTAGGACTGATATCTGCAATACTTACCCCAATACAATTCCTAGTTCTTTTACATGCACTCTTGTATGTCCTCTCAGATATTCTGAAAGCATTTTGCTTTTGAGATACATCTCTTGTAGTCTATCCTCAAGATGCATTATGCACTGTAAATGCAGATGACAAACCTCAGAATGGATTTAGCATTCACATGCAAACGTTGCAGAAATATAAACATACCTTTTTGGCTTTTACCTTAGCTAGATGATTTTAAAATTAAGCCTCCCCTCCAAAATCCAAAAGGGCAAGGGGCTCTCTGCTACTCTTGTGCTGACAGCTTTAAAAAGTTACACTGCCCGCCATCCCCCTCTCCCCAAAATAAGAATTGGGGCATTCTTATTTTCTTAGGTAGCAAGTTTGCTGAGTGTGAATTGGATGCATTTTTGACTTGTGCAAGTCAGCCAAAGTCTTTATGCTGACTTAAAGAAAAGTTTCATTTAGGCCCAAAAACATTCAAGATGTCATATTAAGAATGAAACGGAATATTTGGCTCAAGACGTCTTTGCTACAAGTCAGTACTATTTTTCTGAAAGATATAATTTAAACAGCAGTTCTTAAAATTAGGACATCTTTTTAGCTTTAGGAAACTGCCATTCAAGGAACTAAAACTTGAGAAATGGAAAATTGTTATTTGTAATATTAGGATATTTGTTATTTGTAATATTAAGATAGCTCTTTTGCCTGCTAGTTTACTGGAGAAGCTAGCTTATGGATCCGTTCTAGGCACTTGTCATTACTCATCCAAAGGATTTCTAGTTTAAGATTGTTGAAAAATTACTTGAACTATTACCTTTTAACAAATAGCATCTAGTAGATGCTCACTCCCTTTTCTTTCATTAGAACCATGCTAGAAATACAGCAGCATACTATACTTTTTTATACAGTCATATGGTACAGGATAATTTCTCATACAAAAACTGCAGGAGAGCAGATGATCTTAGCTTCAAAGTTGATGAAAAATTGTGAAAGGAAATTTTTTTTGTTTGGTAGCACAAGCGAGTAGGTAGAATGTCTAACCACATATTTCGTTTTAGGACAAAAAGTATATTCAATTTGATATAATCTTTCTTTCCACAGTGATGACCACTTCAAAAAAAAGTTAAATTAATTCAGCTCTCCAGACTCCAAGAAATGAAAGAAGCACGTGCAGAATCTTACATTATCAAATGTACAATCATCTGGCAGGCGGAGACTGCAACTAGAAACAGTAGCAGCAAACAGCTTCAGGCTACTCAATGTACTTTAAGTTTAATGAAAACCATACATATTAGAAATAAGATACTGTGAAACCAGTTTTGCTAGTTAAAAACTAATGAAAAAGAGACTCGTGCTTGTATTTTTTGGATGGTCTTGACCAAGATGAAGATTTTTAACAATTCTCTGAGCGTATAACAGGTCTTAGGGAAAAAGAACATGCCTTTTAAAGAATGTGCTACATAACAGCATGAATAGAATGAGATAATTGCCACTAGTGGAGAAAAGGTAAAAGCTTTTAAGAGTAGTTTGATCTTTTTGCTTCAAGCAAGTTTTCACTAAAGTCATTATAGTCATAGCACTTCAGAATCTAGCCTGAAGGTAAGCATTCTTTACCTTTCTCATTACACGTAACTCTCCAATGCAAAAAGCCTATTAACATTCCCACAGTGGTTCAGAAAGGCATACAGTACGTTCCCAAAATAGCAGTTCAACATATTAGAACTTCGTTATTCATGTGCTATAGGATTGTGGAATTACTTAAGTTATGAGGGAGCAAGTAAGGAGGAACCCTACATTCCGCTTAGAAAAAAAAAAAAAGATTATATAAGATAAGATTATCTGCTCCTCCTGAATGCTAATGACTGAATGCTAGCCCAGAATCAAAAGACGGTTTTCCTCATGATCTCGGTGCATGAGTTAGGCAATTTTGTTCAAAATGTCCATACTACTTGAGGTTCAGAGGTGAAGTCAAATTTTCTTGATGTTGACTAAATGGGAAAAAATAAACCCCAAGCTAATTTTAATGTCAGAAAAAGTAGCTCAAAATGTATTTAAAGGTGCAGGTAAAACTTTTGACAGATTGCTGACGTGTAGCATATGCAATTTTGATTTACACTTCTTTCTCATTCCAGTATACTGCACGAACTTCTGCAGTACAGTTACCAATTTGAAGTGCCACAGCAAAGATCATACCACTTGCCTTTCATCCAGTAGACCTTGATTTGGGTTTTGTTTTTTGTAGTGCTACAGAAAACAAAACCATGTGAACAGTAAGTGGATGTCATGAAAGGTAAGCCAGTAAAGGAAACTTCAAACACACTCACTGCATTACTTTCACCTTTGATCTATATTAGTACCTTTGTCAAAATTTAAGTCAAAGAGTCACTATGATAAAAAGTCAACCCTCCCCCCCACCGAGTTTGAGGAACACTTGACTTCTATTCCCCACTATTCTGTTGCTGTTAGCAAAGATCTGTAAAATTCTCTGACAGAAGGATTGGACTGTCTTCTAACATGGATTATAGAAAATTACAAACTACCAGCACTGTAATTTTACTGTCCCTTTTTAGAAAAAAGGGAAATACCAAGAAACAAGCCCCCCACCCAAGCCAATACACC